ACTCGAAGTTACCACTGATCGTCCTTCTCTCTGCGCCGTACCCTTGGGTTTACCCTCATTCGCAAAAGTGGAACGTGAGCTCAGGCGGTTGAAATTGAACAAGTCCACCGGGCCATTTGAGCTCCATCCAACCCTTTTCAAATTCTGGGGAACTGCTCTTATCGAAAATCTGCACAACTTTACTGTGAAGCTTTGGGAGCAGGAGACTATCCAAGCAGATTGAGGACGGTCCGTTATAGTCCCAATTTCCAAAGGAGGCTCACATTCTGAATGCGGTCATCATAGAGGAATCCGTCTGATCCCACTTGCTTCTAAATTACTTGTGTCTCTTTATATCCACAGAATAGATGACGTTCGTGGTTACCAGATTTGCGATATTCGAGCCGGGTTCTGTCGAAATTTAGGCTGCATCGATCACCTCTTCCCATACCGTGGATTGCTGAAGCACCCTCACTTATACATTGGCGGCCCACAATTGTCCCTTATTGCTTATTTAATGTTGCCACCACACACGAACGATCCTTCGCTGACAACGGTTGTCAAAAACTGACAGTCTTCTCATGTCTTCCGAGCGAATAGGCTGTCTCACTGCCGCACAACAGGACTGTACTGATGGAAGCATTGTTCACCGTGCCCTTGAGCTTGAGCCTGACGTCATGACAACGGCATAGGTGTCATTTTGATGAAAGCGAGGCGGGCTTTTGCAATGCGCTATGAGACCTCATCTCTAACACCGCCACAAGCCGCGATGCGACTCCCTAGATAAGTGAAGCAATCCACTTGTTCCAGGATGTCACCAGCAATGGTGAGCGCGGACGCAAGCACCTGCCAATCCTAAAATAGCAATTTACATTTGGCTGAGGGGAAATACAAACCATAATTGGATGCCTCAATCGCTTAGCGGTTCAAGGTGTTTTGGACGGTTTGCAGAACATCACCTAGCAAAGAGTTATCATCGACCTAGTCCGGATCTGCGATTCTGTCGCCAAGGAGAAACTCAACACCGGAATTTAGGACACCTTCCAGCACTTATTGCACGATATATTCGATGGCAAAAGTGAACAGGAGAGGCGAAATAAGGCAACCTTGGCGAATGCCACTGATGACAGCAAATGGAGTAGAAAGTCTGCCATAAGCCTTTATTTTGCTCGACGTGTGACTGTACAGTTCCCACAGGATGGGGACAAACTTGTCAAGCACACCCTCCCTTAGTAGAAAATTAAACAAAGCAGCTCTGTCTACTGAATCGAATGCCACGCGATGTCCAGGAACACCACGATTGTTGGTCGACGGTGAGCGTGAGGGAGCTATAAAATTTGTTGGAGCATGAAGATTTGATCATTGCAACTTTCGGCCTGGGCAAAAACCAGCTTCCTCTCTGGAAAACTCTCTCTGATGGAAAAAAGCCTGCGAAGTAAGATGGGCGCAAAAATCTTTGAGGTAGCTGAGATCAGCGTTATTCCACGGTAATTAGCGCAATCTTTGCGGGGACTTCCTTGTGAAGCGGGAGAACGTTGAGTCTCCCCATGAGTTGGGGACTTTCTCATCAGTCCAAATCTTTGTGTAAGGCACGTTTGGTTGGGTACGCTAGTTGACACGACGAGGAGCCGACCTCAGTGGCGTTTATGTTGTGAGTTTCCTTGCCCTCTTTCTCTTTTTGCTTCCTCTCCCAACTTTGATCCCATACCCAACGCATAACGTAATATTTAGCATTAAATTACTTTTTTATTTATTGTAGTTTGTAATGGTCAATATCCCGTCTTCTTTATTGCGGCACCTTAGCTGAGGGATGTTTGTCACCGTCAGCTAAGGTCTACTGTTGTGGATTATGATGAACGCCCATCTGATTGTGTTTTCGGCTGTTACGCATTGCGTAGTCATCACACCTCAACTGAGGTTGATAATGCGCTTTCGATGCGGTCTTTATGGAACGATCAGGCGTCCACCATACACGGTTGTCTCTGAATATACCTAGTCAATGTTGCTTGGCGTAACTTAGTATAATATGGGTTACGAAAACCGTTGCTTCACACCATTTTGCGCCTATTCGATTGCCTCCAGCTATCGCCCTTTACTGTGTACAATTCTGGTGTTTTAATTTCTTCCTGCTTTTTCGCAACAATTATATTTATTCCGTTTCTATTGACTGCGTGTTTTGACAATTGGACCGTGTGCATTGTTTGGTCATTTCATCACTTTTGAATCTTGGCGGTCCGTCAACTATTTCGTTGCCTTCAGACCTTCCGGTACCTACGTCCCATCCAAACACTGCTACTTTGGCACCTTGGTCTATCTGCACATTCCTAGGTGACCGAACCTCGCTCTCTCTCATTTCAGCCCATTCTTGCAGTTTTAGTAAAGTGGAACTATGATTAATTCTCCTTGTTAGTCATTATTTGGCATTTTTGACCATTGTTGAAGTACAACCTGTTATTTCCATCATCTAGTTTTCTCTACCTTACTGTACGCTATTGAATTTGGCTCCAGTCGCTCCGCTGATTTTTATGCACTGGTTAGTGTAACATTTTAACTGGAGGCTGCCGTTGCTGCAACTCGTGAAGTTATATTCGTAATTATTGACAGATAAACTGTGCACATTGTCCTAACCCTAATCTTTCACTCGTGGTAAGTGAGCCAACTTCGGCCATAGGTCACTGCAACGTTAGTAAGCGACCTCTCGGAAGGTAGCTCCATTCCGCTGTAGTGAGTTTTTCCAAGTAACTCGGTTGAAATGCTGTCTGATTGTCTCGCTGCAGGCTAACTATTTTATTGATCACTGAGTCACTGACTACTTCGATTAGCCCTGAATAAGTGTTAAAAATTGTCAATGCACACACTGGTTTTCACATGCATGCATGTGTAGTTTCCGCCAGCTAATCTTCAACTTGTCTACTTAATTTTTGTGCCAGAACTACCTGCACGTAACAAACCATCACAGTGTCGCGTCGATAATAACCATCATATAATCTAAACCTTATGAGTTCGGTTCCTTGAGTCACATTCGCTGAATTGGTCGCGATCATTTGTTGATTTCCTAGAGTTCAGTTTCCCGAAACCGTCACATGCTGCAGCACAGCATTTACCAATATCCGTATAACTTTAATACGGATGTAATATGGATGTAATCGCCACGCTTCGACTCCGTAGCTCTGCTCTCCGGAGATGGATTGCAGCACATACTGGGAGAGATGGCTAAGCCCATCATCCTCATCATCAGTACACGTTAGCTGAGGGTGAGAAACACTCTCCAGCTAATGTGCTACAACACAAAGAGATAAGAGACTAAAAAATTACAATTCAAAGAGTTTAAAAAGCAACTAATAACTTGTTAAATATTATATGCATTTAGTATGAGCTCGCAGTTGGAGAGGGAAACTAAAGGTGGCGGGGATGGACAAAATAATTCACAACACAAACGCCATTGGGGCCGGCTCCAAGCCATATCAGCAGGTGTGTCCAGCCAAACGTGTTCACCGTCCTTAGAACCCCAGTCAGGCAGTCGGGATGCACCCTTTCGATGCCAACTTCGAAATGAGTGTTTTATTTTTATCGACCAACTCATCGCTTGGCCTCCTCTCCTTTTCATCCATTCAGACTCCCGGCGCGCTTAGAACGCACGTCGCGGGAGTCGGTGTGCTAGTATGCGCAACACGTGGCCCAGCCATCGGAACCTGATGCGTGATATAATGGTGCTGAGCGGTTCAATCGCTTTTTCTGCACAAAATGCTCGACGCCGAACACATTCATTGCTCGCGCTGTGCTCCCACCAGACATGAGCAAAACTGCGAAGGCAGCCACAATCGAATGTGACTTAAGTCTCCTGAGCTACTAGGCCAAATTTCGCAACCGTATACGAGAGTTGAACGGACGGCTGCATTATAAACTGTCTTTCACAGCTGGAGTGATATTGCATCGGCGCCATAGGTGGCAGAGATTGGCAAAAACACCTCGATCTTTTGTTATATGATTCGTGACCTCATCTTTGATCCCACGGGTGCTAATATAGCTGCCCAGGTACTTGAATTCCTGAACGACTTCTAGCTGATCACCACCAAGTGTCAGCACAGGGGTGGCGCCCTATCAATCTTTCGAGAGAGTAATGCATAGCCCAGTTAATCGGTCCACTGTTGCTTGTCACGTTTGGGAGCTGTTACAGATAAGGGCAATGTCACCCGCATACTGGAAATCAAGAATTCGTTTATCAGGAATTACTTCCACATCCTGTTGGTAGTGTTTGGTGAACGCTGTTTCCATGAATTCGTCAATGGCGAACTTGAAGAAGATAACTTTGTTTCACATCGCTGGAGTTATTGAAAGGCGACGGCAGTTTGCCATAAACCATCACTCTGCCCGAACTATCCTGCTCTTGTTCGCTACACCAATAATGACCTCACCAGACCGCCATTCTTTATTTCGTTTAGCACGCCGCGTACAGGTACTATTCTCCATTGTGACTGAACCCTCCTGGCTTATTTCGTCATACTTGTCACTGACACCCTTGTTACTTGGTACTACCAAAATCGATGTGTTCACCTTATCTTTTCCTTTTACGTATCATTCCAAACTCGAATGAATTTTCACGGGAATCAAAGCGGCATTGGTTTTTGTTTTGTATCCTTCGTGCTCTACGGGATACACCTTTTTGGTTTGTCGAAACATTGCCGTTAACTATTTTGGATTTTCATATTTCTATGTATACCATCTTTTTTCCATGACATCAGCTTCCATTTGATGTTTTTTTTAGTGCAGCTGCCTTTTGTCCACCATCTGCTTGCCATATTTTCTGGATCTGTTGCAACGCAGTCTCCATTTGCTGTCCACTTCTTGACGACTCTCAGCAGCAAACCGTAGCGTATGACTAGACAGATTGACTCCGGTCCGTCACAACATCGTTTGTCACATTTTCTATTGAGTAATTGCGGAACAATTTGAATCCATCATTTCATACTCTATGTCAGTTAGGCTACTGATGGCTTGTGTTGTCTTTCTGTCTTTCTCAGGTTTCAAAAGCCCCCCGAAGCATCATCGATAACTGCGCCCCTTGTATTGGTCCAGGAGACAGCTCAAACGGTCTACTGTCTGCAGCGAAATTCTCTCATTCATCTTGCTTAGAGACGACGATTCACAGCGAACGCGGAATGGCCACTAATATGGCTGCGCATTTATCTCTACGCACAGGATCATTGTCCACACCAGTCTCATCGTCTCACTTAATGCATTTCACGAATGACATCAGCTTGTCGTCCATTAAATCGTCGTTAGATGGATCACCATTGGTTGACGATGAGGATGATGATATGCGGTCTCTGTTGGCCGCAGCCGCTGCTGTGGCAGCTTCTGTTTCCCCGGGCTCTCCGCATTTACGTTCTTCCTCTTCCGGTTTAAACACTCCTCCGGATACGCGATTGTGTCGACCCCTTGATAGTGTCATGGATGACGGTGATGTTAAATCTACCTTGGAAGATTGTGAACGCGGACTTCACACTGTTGGGGGTGCGGCGCTCCTTGTGTCACGCCTCAGTTCGACAGCATCGGCTTACGCTAATGCTGCTGATTCTCTGAGTGTTCATCTCCCATCCACATCGACTTCTACATCAAATTCCACATTTTCGAATGTCCAACCCACCAGTTATTCTTCTACTGGTGTGGCGCACGATTCTCCTTCTTCTCTGTTTTTCAGCATTCAGCCCCCCTTATCCAACTCTTCAGAGCACTCCCTGAATCCATCTGATTTGTCCACATACTCCGACTCTGTTCGCTTTCACAATTCCGTTTCCTTGCCTGATAATTTCATACCCAATGTCACTTTCGGTCCCAAACTCAGCCATCCATCCACTCCGTCCCAGGCACACAGAGCTTTGCTGGACTTCACTTTACAATGTCCTGGTTACAAACAACCACCTGATATACGGATCAGTGATCAGTATTGCTCCTCTCTCTCTGACGGTGTTTACTCTAGCTCCGACACATTTTCTTCCGATGACCCAAATACTTATACCGAGTCTCATATTCTACAGTCACGTTTCACTTCCAACTTGCCTGAATCTGTTCACTCTACACTCCTTACCACCCATCCGTTATCTAGCCAGCGTAGTGATAACCAAGTTGTCGTTGCTCCCCCCACTTGGTCACGCGTTGACTTAGGGGATAGCTCCCCTGCCGACCAGATTTGTACCTCTACCACCTCGGCAATCACATGTAAGCCGGAGTGCCCACAGTATAGTTTACCTAACTCTAAAAATCTGCTTCCCGCATCATTTGTACGTAAAGCATCATCGCAGCACTGTAGCACGATCAAATCAGACTGTACAGTCTTTCAGGCGGAGCTGCCCCCCAACTGTCCTGTCTCAAACAATTGCACTGAAAACTCTCACACAACCGAAGTTATTGGCCGCACTGAATTCGGATGCTCGGAATCCGTTTTTACGACAGCTTCCTCCGGAGAAGTAACTGTGGCTGACGATCTGTGCACTTATAGCCTGCACAAATTAAATGCAATTCACTCACCCAGAGTCAACCCTGCTCCTTCTGATCGACCCATCGCTGGGACACCAGATTCGGATGATAACAGTAGCCCTTGCCCTTCCGATGGCATGCTGCCAGTTGTCTCGAAATCGTCCAGCTCATTGGCAGATGAACCCTTGGCGTGCACGCCGCCTATATCCTCGGATTGCAATTTCCCCTCCGAAAATCACTCCTCGCCCTTTTTGGATGGTCAAACATCGGTTGCTACAAGCTCTGCTGACCTCAAAAGTACTTCTTTGACCCCGGGGTTATTCAAACCGGCCGAAGGGGACACGCTACTTCCACCTGATGACAATACGGTTAAAATGGATCTTCAGACTACTTCTAACACGCCTCAAATATGTGATGAATCCGAATACGTTTCTGCGGCTGTTGCTGCCGTTGAGGATGTTGTGTACGCACTAGCCGGAAATCGGAGGCCCGACCCTTCACTGGCCGTTGATCCCGCTTTAGAGGGGACGGGGACAGATCGTATTTTCAATCTAAATTTAGCCCCGGTTCATGTCGACACGAGCTTTATCTCCACCTCTACTTGTCATTCTAGTCTAGGCACTTCCTCTGTAGGCTCGGTCAACGGAACTTACTCCCTCCGAACCAATGACACAGTGAGTTTCCATTTTTAATGCGCTTTTCCACTCGCCTTACCGTTTGGCCATGTGTAGGCCTGAGGCGATCACCTTCGTAGCCTTAAGGACTGCAGGTCTATTACCGCCGTTAGGTTGAGTAGATTGCACTTTATGGAACGCCAGTTCCTGCATTAACTGGGCAAACAGTATTTTAGGTTCAGTCCAACTGTTGCGTGTGTGCCACGGGTCTGAGAAATTATATTTGCACTTTATCCAGTTTAGATAAAAAACTAAGTAATACTGCGCACATCTGCTGGGTACACCAGCGACTTTTATTCCCACAAATACATTGTCGATGTTACCTAATAATCAAATGGTTTTATGGATGTCGACCCATCCATGAGCAAATCAACTTCGTCTACCATTGATTTCAGACGACAGACTGTTTTGCTTCGTGAGCTTCTTCTAGCTCGTCTCCCTACTTTGTTTATGCGTATTTTGCTTCACAATTCCCTCTAACTCGGTAAAGTCACATTGCTAGTTTTTCATGAGTGTTGTGCTTTTCACCATTTCACCGCTGTTCAAGCGGTATTGTCCGACTATTTACAGCCTCCACCAAACACCAACTGCTTTGCACCGGTTTTGTGTGCGTCAACCGACTGCTAGTCATTCGGTTAGGACGGTTCGGACCTATCATGACCTCGTTAGTCTCTACAGTAACATTTCTTGAAATCAACATTTAACCTAATTGCAATATCTTTGTGTTCTTCAGCAGGCCGCATCATTGACTAGATTTCGCTAAGCATATCTTGTTGAGTACATATGCTCCATTACTGCATTTTCAGATAGCGCGACTGAATCTTTTCGGCGAGTTGTTTTCGAGGTTGTTGCGGTAGCTCCGCTGTAACGCCATTTATCGAATCATTTGAACTTGCTTGTTACGCTGTTTTCATATCTTTTACTTTGGAAAGCATTTGATATGAACTACACTGAAACGAAACAAGCTGTCTCGACTTGACTCTCCTGTCATGTAATCGCCTCACTGGTTCTAGCCGCTGTTTTCAACAGTACACGAGACACTGAAGCGCTTCATGCATTCCACTGAAATCTGTGCGGAATTCTTAGAGGTGACAACCTTGCTATGAAAGTGGCGAAATTCTAACATACACCCTACTTAAGCTAGTGCGTTCCGACAAGGAATCCTGGTGATCTAGTAGAGCTCAAGAAATGGAATAGATAGAAGCAGTAGGTAATTATCACAAGCTCTTCCGACTGACTCTTACAATTGGTCCCAGGAAACCAGGCGTCAGCGAGACAATCAGAGACAGCACGCATCCCTTGATTCACAATAAGTAGCGTCGTTGGGCGGAGAAATTTCGGGAGCAGTTCAGTTGGCCCCCTGCTTCCGTGCTCATACCTACTCAGCTGATGCAGGATGAGCCATGGTTCTTTAGTTTATAGACTCTGGGAGGCTAAGGTCAGAAACGCGGTCACAGACCTTAACTATTTTCGTTCTACTGGACCAGATCTCCTCGCATCTGCACTATATAAGGGTAGTGGTAAGTTCCTCTGTGAAGAATGGACCGCCCTGTTCGAATATGTCTGAAAGGAAGAGTCCATCCTACTTAACTGAAATGGTTCGATTATAGTGGCAATATACAAGAAAAGCAGTCGCACCGTCTGTGATAACCATCAGCATATTAGCCTAACACCAGTTGTGACAAAATTGCTTGTCTTAATCCTCATTCACCGCCTCACTGCGGAACGACAGTCCCTGATTAAGGAAACGCAAATATTCTTCCACCCTGGACGGGGCTGTATAGACCATATACCCACTCTCTAGCAGGTGCTAGAGCTGCACTACATCTACTGCAGGCTGATAATAGCTGTGTTCCTCGACCTAAAGAGTATGTTCGATTCAGTCGATCGATCCATTCTGTTGTCGATACTTGTTCAGTTACGTGTTTCGATGATATATGTGAACCGTTTACGTGCAATGTACTTGAGAACAACAACCTGTCAGCGTCTACGATGACTTCTCGGGCATCTCCTCGACAACGAGTGGCGTTCGTTTGGGTTGTCCAATTTCACCATTTTTGTCCAACTTCGTTGTGGACTCCATCTTGGAATCGCTTGAAACACGTTAAGGCACTGTCTGGTGAAAGGATAGTTGATCTTGTTAATTCTGACGATGTCCTACTGTTTGACAGTTTGCCCTGAATAACCTCTGGAGGAGTCCCATCATCCGGTATGCGCTTCGCGCCTTCAAATTACAGTGTTGCATAGCCACCAGTCACTTGACGACACCCTGAACCTTGTTATTGAGGAACTCGAGGTAGTTGATCTCTTCACTTTCCTTTACAGCTGAATCAGTAACTGAACTCAGTTCACCTACTGCAATTGTTAGTATTGCGTTCTTGAATCTGCTACATCTGTGGCATCAAAAGGTTGTTTCTCTCGTCTTGAAAGACTGCGTTTACAAGGTCACAGTGAGGGCCGTGCTATTTTATTATAATGAGACTTGGACACTTCGATATGAGCCGCCTTCAAGTCTTTGATCATCGCTGTCCGTGTGGCATTGTTGGTGCCATCCGGCTCATTCGTAACGATGATGTGCGAAGGCAGTGATAATCACTCTAGTTCCATGGAACAACGGAAAGCACTGCATAAGTTCCGTTTGATTAGGCATGTACTACGTAAGCCCGTTCACCGCTTACCAAAGAGGGCCTTGTTTGTTTGCCAAATGCTGGTTGGTACAAGGCCTGCAGTGGGCAAAAGTTTACTTGTCAGCGTGAAATGAAGTCAATGACGATTAAACTGAGTGCCGTCGGTCCGTATGGCCTTCCAGGCAGAAGTCCACCTGACTCGCCTTGTGCTTGGCTCGAGACACTACAGGACATGTCTGTGGGGTAATAGCTGATTGTGATGCGGTGCAGTGAAAGCCTCAATGAAGCTGTCTTGCTGATGCTGTCTCATCTTTGCACGATAGCCAGCTGTTTGTATCTGTATGTTGTTAACACGAGGTACAGACGCCTTAACGCTGAATGTTTGCATAGGGTGTTTAGGTTTTACGCTTGGTTTGCTTCATCTCCCTGTTATTATTCTCTCTTCTATGGTTGTACTGCCGTGAATCATCAGTTCAAATGCCGGATGTAATGCTGTTGATGAAGCTGACTTAGACCATTGATCTTCGTGTTGGTCGAATCTGTGATTTCCATACTGACTTCCACTTCGATCATTGTGATAGTAACCTCGTTTTTGCACTTTCCGATTCATGGAACAGCGACACGCATGCAGAATATTCACCGGTGTGGTCTACCAAAACGTATTAGGTGCAGCTTCTGATACTGATTTCCCTTACCACGAAAGCTATCTATTTTTCACGTTCCGCGGATTTGATTGAATGTCCAAAGGAAGCCATTCACCAGTATCCCCAACTCAAGTGGGGTGCATCAAGGTTATTTAATGTTTCACTTTCTTTTTAGCTGTGTGATTGACGTGTTCGCAAGTGGCATCAGCGGTCCACCGGTACGCAGTACCAACGCTTCGCTGCCGCGCACTCATTAACTGGTTTGTGGACTAAGGATACTGCGAGTCGCTCGGTACCCTACGCAGGCTCGAACTCGGACCCTCAGATTACAAAGCAGGATTGTGATTCTTTAGGCTACTGGCCGCAACCGACTGCTATTCTGGTCTTTTATGGACTTCGGTCGAATTCAGCATGTGCGAAAGTACTTCTAGATAAAGAATAATAGAATCCTGCACTATCCGGCGTGTTTTCCTCACCTTCAATTATCGACTATCTTTTACAGGGGTTGGTTAACACGCCACCGTCACGTAACGGCTAAGTGTTTGGCTGCTTAACCTTTCCAGATAGTCCCACCTCACATATCAGCAAGATCCATGCGAGTTTTCCAAGGCTCGCTCATATGGAAAGTCGGAGAATGCTAGGTTCAGTCAGCAATAGTCATTTGACACGTTGGACGGTCCAGCATGCATTTCATTGGACCGCTTGTCGTCACCTTGTATATTCGTCCCCCTCCCAAACGTGTCTCCTGTATTCAAATAGGTTACATCTAATGTGTGCTGCTGTAGCTCACCCGACGATCGTTTACGTGAGCGTAACGATCGAATGAACTTGTTTCATTATCGACTCACATGCCTCACCCTTAAATAAACGAGTATCGTACTTGTCGCTGGTTCATGTTCGCCTACCTGTGTTACATTTGCAGGCGATCAGTTTCAGCATACATGCTGGTTGGAGTGAACTATAAAGTCGAAACTCAGGTAGGATTCCAGAGTTAAAAACGGTTTTTGACGTAGGTCAGTGCATTACCAAATTGTGTAGGTTGGTAAATTAAGCCACGATAGTCAGTGGAATTCCAGATTCTCATTAGGTGAAAGCGGGACAACGCACATTACTAGAGGCAGATGGATTCGGATTAAACCAGTAGGACTTGGTTGAATCAGGCGAAGCACGATGCATGCGCCATCCCAAACATGTATCTGGACAACAGAAATGTCACATCTGGTTGTCTCTGGTTGTCACTCCCAAGCTATCCTGTTTCACATTCAAATTTTTAATCTCCGTTTTCCTGTCACAGATAGCAGGATCGCTGAATTACTTTGTGCCTGTCGACTGACGTCCAAGAAGACCAGTAATTGCCGGCTGTGCACTCACTTCGATTGCTTATTTTGTCACTTAATTCAGTATGTTTCTGGTATATATCCGATTACACTTGTCATTCTCTTTAAGTTTTTATCCCATCGGAATGGCTAGCCTCAATTCTGTTCGTCTCTTGCTTTACGAATGATGTTTTCACGGAACGCATGTGCAGCCAGCGACCCGGGTACCCATGTTTTCCTGTTTACTGTTCGTCCTGGATTGTCACTTAGTTTGTTGACTCAGATGCCTACATCTTCAAACCCTTGGTTTCTTTCTAACTCTATATCTACCGGTACGTTTTACCACATTTTTTTCGCTTGTTGATCAGACATACTGTCCCACTTTCACATCCATTTCAGTTCACTATCCCTGACATACCAATTGTATCAGTCGCTCTGCGAACTAGCATAGCGCTTGGACCTACAACCATCGATCCAACCATATCCTCCGGTCATCTCTCTCAGCCGCAATCATGTAACAGCTCTACCGGTGGAACACATGAACCACTCACTCAGGCAGATGCTTCAAACAATGCTTCTGCTGTAGATTGGGAAAGAAGCGACTCAAGAGAAGAGTTTCGCTGCTCATCTTGTAATCGCGTGTTTGCTCAGAAATCGCTGCTGCTGAAACATCGTATTATGCACGATGAACCCAGACATACTTGTGATGCGTGTGGCCGTTGTTTCGTACGCGAGGATAAATTGAAACGTCACATTATGTCCATACACACTACGGAGAAGCCTCACGCGTGCTGCATTTGTGGAAAGGCTTTTTCTCGAAAGTGAGTCAACCGAGGTTCTTCTTCGGTTCGTTTTCTCTTCACTGCTTACATATCCTCTGTTGTTGGCTGCGGTTCATGAAAGTGGATAATTCAGGTGAACTTCCAAATGTGCGTGGTTCTTACTCATATCTCTCCCTACCTCACTGCTCTTGGCTTACATCCTTGTTGATTAATCTCTTGTTGGTTTGTTTGAATCAATCACTCATGCACCTAGGTGGCCTAACTTGTTGTGTATCGTGCAGCGCTCCGGAAGATCGCAGCACACCCATCAATGTTGTTCTGATTCTATATTTTGGTGCTTAACAACCCACTGTCCTCCAAATATGGCAACTCCTTCTACCCTGATTACGGTTCAGATGGGTAGATCCATGAAAGCGTTCCGGGATGCGTAATGGCTGTCTGGCTGAGTCAAGGTGCGACGAATCTTCTCAAAAACACAATGAAACGCAATGAATCTTACCACCATGTAATTCTTACTTGGGGTTCACTGGTGCGTCTGTTCCATGTACTTTGGACCTCCCTGGTCCAGGATGTTATTCGATCTAAAGTGTGACTATTTCGTGCGGTTTGACACGTCTAGCTCACCCTTCTTTCCGATCACCTTCCATTCTTAACAGTCGTATGAAGCTTGTCTTGTGTATGTTGTTTTGTCAGCTATATTTTGCATTTTGATCCTCCTCTGCTCTTCGAAGATAGCAACTTTAATCGTCTTTTCCCAGTGAATCACCCGGAGTATTTCTATAATGTCTTATTCCTCTGGTTCATTTATTTCTTTTTCATTTGTGAATAAGTTGGATTCTAATATTCTATAGTCTGAGATTGTGCCAACCTTATTTCAGTGCAGCGTTCTTCTCCACGTGTTTCTGCAAACACAGCCCAACCATTCCATATGCAATGATTTGACCGAGACAACCTTTACCCATGCGGTATATAATCATTGGATGCGTCACTTGTGGACCTCTTCTTGTCCATGCTAAATTAGATCTTATGATGTCAGGTCCATTGCTGCTGTGACTCAACTAGGTATTCACTTCGCTACACAGGCAAATCACGTACCTCGGTTTGGCAACGACTGCAGTCCATCGACAAACTACCTTGGAAATGCTGAAGTCGTGTTTGGTGGTGTCTTCTTCATTCATGGTGATAACAGTTAGGTCTTTGTAGGAGGGACTCTCTTCTTTACTGCATAACTTTTCGAACGTCATATGATTAAAACAATGCTCATCGTTGGTAACGGTTGAACGCGATACATGCTAGTGCCTCACACATTGGAGCTAGGTATGTGTTACCGCGCGGTCGCCACTGCACTACTCACTCTCCACTTTGTGCCTACTGCAAGTGTTGTTCTTGTGGGAACTTGTGCTTCCATAAAGAATTTTGTCGTATGACACACGCATCTCATTCCGACGAACGGTGTATTGCTTGTTTCTGCCATAGGATTATCGGACAATGGCGTGCGCAGTCGCTGTATTACTGTGATTTGAATTGTTGTCCATTTACCATGTGTACAACAACATACGCTTCTGCGTTATTTTTTGCCAGGGCTCATTGATATTCACCATGAAAGGTATTTTGACCTACCCTGGCTGTACTAGAAGATTGCTAGCTCTAGCGCTACGATTTCACTAGCACACTGGCTATGATGCCGGGAGCACTCTTCGAACCTTAACTGTTCTCTACTCATTGTCGCAACCAGACTGGACCTTAAGATAGTTCCATCTCTTACGTACATCTTCAACCTACTAAACTTTACAAAGTGGTGACCGGGGCTTCTCGAGAGCAACTCCTACCAGGTTGGTCAGTGGTAAATGTCAAACAAACTCAGTCTCTTGGTCCTCATAGTTTGGATTTGGATGTGGAAAAGCGTCCATTTCTGTAAAACCGAGTCGTTACCACTTTCCCCCTGCCTTGTAAACAGGATTTTGAGCCAAAGTCCTTGGTTGAAGACTCTAATCGTCTTCCTGTCTAGATCTGAACACCCTGGCAGTATCTCACATAGAACCACGACTGTTTCTTCAAACTTTAACCACATCTTGCATCGGCCTGCTGCATACAGCAGGTTGGATAAGCGAAAACATGATACTGCTGTCGCCTCCTTTCTTTCTTTTCGACATGTTTTACTTCCTCACCTACCAACCCCATTACCAACCTTGCTTCTATAATTTCCAGCTTAATTGACAGCAACCGTAATATCACTGGAGTCGAATCATCTGCGGCTACCTTCCAACAAGACCCGGGGTGTCAGGGAAGAGTAGCGCCTCTGGTAGGGGACCTGCCTTACTCTCCGGGGTAGTTCGCCTATCTTTGGTCTTCACTTGTCACCCAGCTCTCACCTATGGCTCCAAAAGGCTGCTTGCACGTGGCAGCGACCACACCGCAGTCAACCGTCAGACAGATGGGCTAAATCAGGTGAGTTCGTATCCGCGTGATACGTCAATCCTGATAAATGCGCGGAAAAGATTGACCCCTGACCTAACGACCGGAAGTTGGAATGATGTCCCAGATCTCTGCTCCCTTACAGGGGACACTTGGCTGTGCAAATGCTAGAGATTGACCCTCGGACAATAACCGGATGAGGTTGGGGTCCTCATACATACCCATTATCCCCACGAAATCTCATGACATGTCCGTTACCCGCGATCCTTCTCATGCTACAGGCCGAGGAACGATCAGACCCGCCACATCCTCGGTAGATACGCCCTTGGCGAGCGCTGTGATAATTGAGACTGCTTGCCTAGTTTCGCCGACCCTAATCGGTTGTGCATAACCAATACTCACTTCCACCATCTCAGGAAGCATCTTCTGACGGGGTGCTCCAATGATGATCGTACAGCCAGCCAAATAGATTACACCTTAATCTGATCTTGGTGGATGTCCTTCATCGATGACTGTCGAACGTGCAGAGGGGCTGAAACGGGCAATAAAGGAGTAGATGCCACCTATTTGGGTTCCTAAAAGCTCTGACCGTCTGGATCATCGCATTCTACTTCACATGCTTCAGAATTATGCAATCAGCCATCCTGTTGAAAGTCATCTGAATGGGACGGTTCGCTGCCTCATATCCGAACCAATCAAAGCATAGTGCGGTGTACCTCAGAGCTCGGCACTCGGACCTTGTCTGTTCCTGATCTTCATAAATGGTCTCACGAGATTGCTATTTTTAAATTTCCTACTATTCGCTGTTGATCTAACAAAATGGCACACTATCACTACAGTGGAGGATCACACAGCGTACACATGGTCCATCTAATGCATGCCACAGTTCAACACCGGCAAGTACGAACTTCTCAGCATACACCATCAGCACACTCAAGACTACCTACTGGGGCCACATTTTCTACAGCGAGCATCTCATGACTGTGATCTCGACGTGCTCGTGCAAGGTGACCTTGGTTGTTTGAGGCAGACTGAAATGACACCAAAGAAAGCAAATATGCACTTCGGCTTCCTTCGCAAGGCTTCCAAGGAGTTCAACGACTCAGTTTTCTCAAAATTGTTTGGCGCGTCCTTGAGGGCTCATGCAGAGTAGGCTAACCAAGTGTGACAACCCTGGCAAAAATAGCACCTCACCTCACTCCATACTGCACAACGAGAGCGATGAAGCGCGTTTGTTTGTCCCCCATTCCCCACCCATTTCGGTTGAAAATTATAAAAGTGTACAGCAGACCTTAACGACTTTTACAGGAGTTTTCATAATGGTATGGCAGACCCTAAAAAGCTAAATTACACATATCACTATCTTTTGAAAATCAGTCAAGCCACATCTCTGAGGTGTCATCTATTTGTTGGCCACACAGTACATTCGACTAGAATATCGACGAGGTGTTTTCTTCGAGTGTCACAATCCTAGAGCTTCCTCCTGAGGCATCTAATACTGCCCCCATAATTCAAAACGCCTTGATGATACTCCGAAACTTTTACATCGCATGATCTAGCCCATGACAATGATATGATAGCATTAGGTCACGTTATACAGTGATGGGTGTCGGAATGATACAAAACTCCCAACAGGAACATACGCATGTGTATCTCCAAGCATTTTGTTTTCTGTATTACGCGCGTTGCTCTATCGACACTGTATGTTTACACTATTACTTTCCCATTAACCATTCTACGGGAGTTCTCAAGCATTTGCATTTACATCCGTTATAAAGCATTGTCCACTGCCCCCAGAAACTGGATATCGATGCATTACATATCCCATTAACTGTAAAAATTCACCTGTAGTTGCAGTGACATCTATGTCGGGCGCACTAACCGAAGTTTAGGAGTCAGGGTCAATGAACCCATTTCTAAGCGGTTATACAGCCGTACGATACCGTTGATGGTGGAGTCGATTTGATTAAGAAATCGAACTATCTCCGCATTCGCAAATAAATTGCGGAGCACCGACCACCTAGTCAATACCCATCAGCCATCCACCGCTAATTTTATTTTTTACTGAGCTTACCTGATGGGGTGTTGGATTAAGGACATAAACATCCTGTAGAGGTTCTCAAAGTTAGCATCGACCGATACTTTAAAAATCTGACGAGTCGGGGTTTCGTATCCGAGTCCGAGGGACAATACTTCATTTTCCAATCTGTTGAGAGAGAATAGGGACACATCATGAACAAATGATGGACAGACAACAGGAAACTCACTCCCGTTCTGCTCAGTTGAAACGGCAATGATGCACAAAGCCATGGATAACATCGGACCGGTTCCACGAACTGCTTTGTCCTGTGCAAACATGTTTCTTTATTAATCAAAGTAAGCGTCTCAAGATTAACCATGTATGGCGTATTTTGATTTTACTCAAACACTTCGACTCACGTGAGTCACGATTACCAGAAACATACTGCATCAAAAACATCATTGAAACACAATCCATCGACACCAATCAGTGAATTTTCTCATATCAGACGCAGGGAATCTTCGCTTGAGCAATTTGAAACAGGAAGTTCCCTTTATGATTCCAAACCAAAAATTCGGATGACGGAAACTCAAATGACTCATTC